CAGTGGCCCTAATCCTCTTCTTTAGTAAATGACCCAATGATTAGTATTTTGCTTTCCAGCAGGGGGCACCAGATCATTACAAAAATATACTAGAATATCAGAAGTAAATGCTTTAGTTTAATTAAGGGCCCACAGTGTCACACTTCTACTGTATGTTACAGTGGACCTGAGCTGTCTTTCCGTAGATTCCTCTCTTCTCTACCAAAGTCACACCAGGCTCCTGTTGGTGCTGGCAGAAGAGGAGAGGCTGTCTTCCACATAAGCTTTGGATTTTCATCTTGCTTTTATTTTGTGTTAAATACAGGTCACCATCTGACCTGGTTAGGTATATATAAAAATTGTGTGCACTAGGAAAACTTTGTTTATTCGTTTAAAGTTCCTAAGTGAAAGATATAAGATGCTTTAGTCGCATTATACAAAACAGTTGGCAAAAATGATCCCATCCTTCTGAGTCCTACAGGAACAACAATTTCACTGAATCACTGTCCTGAAAATTATTCAGAAACAGTTTTTTTATTTTTAATTTACAAATTTAACCGATGATCCGGTGGTGGGATAAAAACTAGATGTAGTTGCAACATAGTATTACGATTCTTGATCATTAGATCAGTAGCTTTGCAGGACTTGGGGCTCACATTAATTTCTACATTAACTTAAAAAAAATAAAGTTTGTGTACAAGTTAAAACATGTTTATTTTAAGGTTAGACCTGTGGCATGTATTCGCTTCAAAAGGGGAAAAAAAGTGACTGTGTAAATGAAGCAAATAAAAAGAAAAAAAAATACTGTGTCCTTTTATTTTAACAACTCTCCCTGGTTCACATTATGAAAAATTAGACTGAGACATCCCGTTTAGAACAACTTTATTAGTGAACATGGCAACATTTCAATTAAAGGTAATTCAAAGACAACCCAGTAGATGTAATATACACAGCACATGAAACCTGTTTTACCTCTAAGGCATGCTCCTTGTTTTGTCCTCTACACCCCCTCGGATTGTGTTGAAACACTGAGCATCTCATTCTAAAACAATCAGAAACCTTTTTCACTACAGAGAAAAGTGATTTTCAACCTGATAACCTCCAACTTTCTGTCTACACACTGTATGGGTCAAAGTTTCAGTTCCTGCTCTCATCCAACTTTCTAAAGTTTTAAAAAGGTACATTTGTAAATAAAGGCATTAAACCATCAGACAGCTCTAAACACACTATAGCATCATGAATGAAAATGAGTCGACCAGGCTGATAAAATGAATTAATCTGAGCAATTTGCAGTCAGAATTTAAATTTCATTGCGTTTGCTGCTTTACCTTATGACTGGAGCTCTTGAACGGTCTACGTTCAGCAGCGGGATAGACTCAAAGGATTCCTCCTTTTGGGGTAGGGGGGGAAGACAAACTACGACACGGCCTGATTTTACGACCTAAGCCTGCAGCATCCTCCAACACTGTGAGCAAGAAGTGAAGGCAGCAACGTTTCAATAGAAGGTTTGCACTGCACTGAAGGGCAGATTTACACCACGACAGAATAAAAAAATTAATTGGTCAAAGATAAATAAAATGCATTTCACCGATTATTCCAGCTAACATTTGAGCACATTGCTAACTTCTGGCAACAGCGTGGCATGCATTTCATTAAACCAGTGTCAACCTAAAGTATTAAACTTACCAGACAGAAAGGCCTTTTAAAAAAAAATATTGAGCACATGACAACATTTACGCAACTTTTTGTTTTGGAAGGCAACCATCAAACAAGTGATACAACTCATGCAGTTCATGAATCAAAGGAAATAGTAAAAAGGACCGCTGAAGTGTAAACTAGTCGGCACAATTCTTTATAACTGAGCATAAATGCATTGAGGCATATTAACACCACAGGTAAGCATTTCTTTGCATGAATACAAGTCATTTTTTAAAGGACAAAAATACACTTGTTCCCTTAGGTTTCGCTTACCTGTATTAATGCAGCAGAACCTAAGGTGCAAGGTCTGGAATGACACTGCAAAGATCAGATATATTGCACTGTTTGCCATCAGTGAACAATGCAGTCAAATATTGTTCCGACTTATTCAACAGCCTCTGTAGTCAGCAACGACGTCCACAACTAGCATTCGACATGCCTTAAATGGGACATGTTGGACAGGAAATCAGAGGAATCCTAGGCATGCTACGCTGAAGATCTGGACTAATTTCTATACTACAAGTGGTGCTTAACAATGCTTAATATTTCTTTTTCAATAAACAGGTTAAAGAACGCAGTTTCTACCATTGAATCCCCATCATGTCATAAAATCCATCATTAAACATCCTGAAATCATACTTTCAAGAGTACAAATCTAGGCGTCATACAGTCAATCTCAGAAACGTGTGGTACAAGAATCAAACTTAACTTTTTTTTTTGCCTCTTTTCAAAACATTTCATACTTACCCACAAAAAAAGGAGGGAAAGGGTGTAATTTCTCACATGAGTCTACATGTTTAGCAGTTTAAAAAGCATTTAAAAAAAGAGTGCATGTCTAAGTTGGGTACTTACATTACAGCAGGGCTCAACTGATGGATGAAGAAGCTGCTTAGCCAACCCCGACCCTACAACATCTACGCTTTATATCGGATAAACACTAAGAATCGGCAAAGTAAATAAAGATCCGCAATGTTTGCAGTGATTAAAAAAACTCTTTAAAGGGATATAAAAATATACAGAACCGGGATTGGGCAAGACAAAATTCTATATTTTGTTTCATACAGTGGCAATTTACCCAACTGTCCTGGAAAAAGAACAGCACAAAAATAATAGCACTAAAAATATATATATATAACATTTTCTTGAGACCACATTTTCTGAGGGACATGTTCAGATTACCTGCTTACCATAATTTGTTTTCTAAACTCGCCTGTGGAAGAGGAAGTGGCTTTCAAGGCAAAACAACAGGTAAAAACAACTATCGCAACAGTGTCTGGGTACCAGGCAAAAAGCACAACAGCAACGCGATAAATGGAGACACCGTGCACGGATACCTGTCAATTCAAGTGCATCTACATCTACAAAGAGCAAGATCATTCAGCATCACTGTATGCACGTTTCTCTGAGCCTTATAGACAGTTGGAGAGAGACAGGACAGCACAACTTCATAGTCGATTTTTATAGGACAAACCCACACATTGCCTATGTTTAAAGCTCCTCAAACGGGTAAAGCATACAACAATAAATCAAGAATTTCATCTAAACCGTTTTTTTGTTTGTGGACCACCCCAACTTACCAACACAGGAGGTTTCAGTTTGTTTTATTGCAAAAACACAACAGGCAATAGCATTTTTAAAACTGAGATGATTTACATGGTAATGTCTACAGTTTAATAAACATGAGTTCTAACCACATTTAATGTAGATACAGGGCTGGAATGACCATATGTATAATTACCTTTACTAAAAACATAGCATTTACAAGAAAGAAAAAAAAAAAAGGAGAAAAAAACAAAACAAAAAAAAAAATCAAGAGGACGTGTTCGCCGGGTAATCTGCCATCTATGTGAAACACTTTCAAACCAAGGAAATTTAAGATCTTCATCAAGGCGTCAGCATCCAAACATTTAACAAAGGATTTTGTTTCGACAATGTAGCATTTACTTTATGTCCACTTCACATTACTGGCCCTGTGCAGAAGAAATACATAAAAGATACATTGCATGTTAACAGCAGAAACAGTGGACTCAGCTTCCCAAAAAAAAAGCTTAAAAAGCCTGTTGAGGGAGGAAAAGCTGTGGTTAGGTGTTTGATGCTGCTGCGTTTCACTGGAACCCTATAAAACCTGACGGAGGAAGGAAGATTAGGGCGCATATGAATGTAACAGACACGTTCTTATAAACCATGTACCTGAGGGGCTTGTGGTGCCGCACCCATCGCCTGAGGGTTGCCTGTGCCGTAGTAGGCAGCCTGCTGGCGGTAGTACTCCGCCCAGGCGGCGCTGTAGTCTGGCTGGCCACCAGGCTGAGCCGCCGCTGGTGCGGCTGCTGGTGCTGCCTGAGGAGCAGCTTGACCTGAAAGGACAAATACAAGTCTGAGTAAAGCCAGAAAGAAAAGGGAAAAGAAAATAACACTTGCCCCCATTATAATTAAATACTCTCAAAACATATTTTTAAATATGAAGGAATTTCTTCTGGTAATTAAAAGCGGTGTGCAGATTTTCAAAAACAATCAGAGGGCGATCTAGTTTAAAGAAACAAACTATAAGAAGGGGAACGAACCCACCCCCAACATCTCTGGGTTGCGGGTCAGAAACCTTCTGCTTTTCTTTTGGGTGGTTGAGCAGGCAGCGTCTCCATCATAGAGAGCTGCCAGAAGAGCCAACCACCCTGAAACAATCATCTTTATGTTTTTAGGTCATATTCTAATACACATTTAGATCTTTTTTTTCTTTAAAAAGGCAAATAAAACTGTAAACAGGTTTGAAAATATATCTAATTATTCTTAGAACAGAAACTAAAAAGCCCTCAAATTGTAGCCTTTAGAGTACCAACCTTGCTTCTTGTAATACTCCTCCCAGGCTTTCGTGTAGTCCTGAGGTGGTTGACTCTGTTGACCTGTGAAACAAGCAAACAAGAAGTGTTTTAAAGCAGACGTGCATGAACAATAAAGAAAAAAGGAAAAACAATCAAATTAATCCTACATGTCCAATCACAATTCAAACATTCATTAATTCAGTATGGGGGGAAAAAAATGACACGATGGAAATCTCTGGCATCAGCTCTGATAAAGACTTCAATAAGAATCACTGAGATGGACTGTGTGTCAACAGCTCAGTCCTGCAGATAATTGAAAATCTCGCAGTCTAAACAGCACAGGCATCAAACCAAGTTGAAGCGTACTGAAAAACAGGCCCACAAAATACCCAGACCTGAAAAAGAAGCAGATTTAAAGCCCTGTAGCTGTTTAGACTGGCTGGTGTTAATAGGTGTACACTGAAACTACAATCATATACCCATTTTCTTGTAATATTCCTCCCAGGCCTTGGTGTAATCTGTCTGTCCACTCTGACCTGCAGCCTGTGGGTCACCTGTTAAAAAGAACGGTACTTGTAATTAGTGAATCTTTCTCAGCGGCCTCTCCACCTGCTGCCTGTCAGCCTAGAGGTGGTGGAGGAAAACTACTCTGTTGCTTTCGGGGGAGAGAGGTTATTTCAAAGTGAAGCCAATCCAGCCTGCGGTTTGTTAAACACGCCAGAACTCAGAAGATCTAGGGGACTAAACTGCCCTAAACGTCTGAACTGACTAGCTCTAGAAGCAGGTGCGTGTTGTGAGAATGCTCCTCTCACCTTGACCGTTGGGTTGAGCTGTGCCTGGAGCTCCACTGGATGGAGTCATGGAGGCCTGTGGCTGCTGGCCGTATTGAGCATAGTAAGCCGCCCATGCTGCTGCATTGGCATCGGCTGCTGCTTTATCTGTACAAAAAAAGTTTTCATACGGGGTCAGGTTCATCTGTTTGTGAACAAAATCCACCTGGAAAAGCACAACAGATTTTATAGCATGTAAAGAGGAAGTGACTTACTTGGATCAGGCTGTCCCTGCTGCCAGTGGGGATAACCGTTACCCCATCCTTGAGGCTGATAAGGAGCAGGGGGGCCACTGATGACAGAAAAATAAATAAATAAAAAATTACCGATTAAAATAAAAATGTTAAATCAAGTGTTGTAAGAGGAACACGACTCTATACTCACTGTGGTCCTGGGGGCCCTTGGTTGTAAGGTCCAGGATTGTACGGTCCCATTGGAGCGCCAGGGGGTCCTGGTGGTCCAGGGGGACCGTGTGGACCTGGTCCCCCATGTGGACCTGGAGGACCATGTGGACCCCCCAATGGAGTAACTGGACCCTGAGGAGATAAAGGAGGAAGAATTTAGTCAGGAGTTACATTTTCACAGAGAACAATATCCTATAAACCTAATGTATATAAACCTAATATATTACCCCAATTTTCTCCTCCACCAGCTGCCTGGCGTAGTCGATCTGTTGAGGGTTCCCTCTGACTGTGAACATCTTTAAGTTGGGGTCGGCATTTGGTGGGGGATTCCTCTGCAGCTCAATCCTGGCCCCTGACTGCTGGCTGATCCCCTTGATTGTCTCGCCTCCTGTACAAAAGCAACATAAAGACTACAGTTAACCCCTTTTTTATGTTTTTCTTTTTTTTTTTACATACATATACTGGACTTTAACTTTAGACTTTAGTCTAATTAAGTTTCAAGAATTTTTACTAAAAAGCATGAAAATGAGTGTAGAGAAGGTGCTTGCCTTTTCCAATAATGAGGCCAGTCTTCATGGTTGGGACTGTGAAAGAGAACTCCTGCAGACCACCAGGGGGCCCCATATTCCAATTGCCCTGCCCACGACCGCGTCCTCTGCCACCCCCATGTCCTGGGGGACCTCCAGCCTGTACGCTTCTCAGCAGATCCGAAATGATCTCTGCCGCATGTTGGGCCTGATCTGGAGGACCCATGATCTGTGCTATCCTTTCAGGTGTGGTGCCGTCATCTGGATCAAAGGTAGAACATTTAATTTCAGCATCAACATTAAACAAGGTTTAATACATATCATCTAAACTTCCGATATAGGTCTCAGATTGGTTTGGGTTAGGGTTATACATCAGCTCATCAGCGTGGTGCATGAGTTTTCATCATAGACCAAAATAAATTGTACCAACACTCCAAATGGCAAAGCTTGTTTATATCGTCAGTGCTGCACCAAAAGCTCACCTGGTTTGAACTGAATTCTGACGCCTGTGTCGTTCTGGATTTTCTTGATCATCTCTCCGTTTCTGCCAATGACAATTCCAACTGCAAAGCGTGGCACTGGAACCTAATAGAACGGACAAAGGCGAATAATATGAATAAGAAAGGTTCAGCGCACTGATTTCCAAGAGCACAGCCAAGCAGATACTCACATCTAAGCTGTCTCCTCCTCCGGCCCTGGAACCGTACTCGCCCCTCTGCTCCCTGAACCCCTGTTCCCTGATCAGCTCCATCACCATCTCTTTGGCTTGCTACAATGGGAAAGTAAAATCTCATTACAACTGGACAAACAAGCAAATTAAAGTGAACCCATTTAAAAATCAAATGGGGACTAACCTGGACTTTAAAGGGGTCTCCAGAAATGCGGAGTGGCTTGTCTGCGCCTGTGTTCTGGGGTCCATCTTGGATCATGACCATCTTCACGCCAGCTCGTTCCTTCAAAGAGCAACGCATCTCATTCAATGTGTTGCCACCAAAGAAACGCCATTCTGAATTTGCACCATATGCCATGTTTATATAAAAGCCCCAATCCAAGATTCACCTGAAGGCTTTTGATGGTCTCTCCACCCTTCCCAATGACGAGGCCGGCTTTGGAAGCAGGCACCATGATTTCTTGAACAGACATTCCTGGACCGTCGTTGTGGTGGAAAGCTGGAGCTGGACGTCCCTTTTCAACGATCTCAGTCAAAAGTCTCTTTGCAGCCCTGCAGAGAGTAATTTTCTTTAGATGCGATCGAGATGTTGAGAATTCTGGGATATTACATTTAAAAAATTACACTTTAATACGTACTGGATTGATTCCGGTCCCCCTGTTAATGTCACCGACCTCTCAGGCATGCCCCCACTGTCTAAAAAAACACAAACAAGATTTATCACAACTGCAAATTTAATGCTAGCTGATCAATACTTATAGCAAAAAAAAAAAAAAAAAACACTAACCAGGAGCAATCTGTATTTTACACCCAGACTCCTGCTGAATCCGGGATATCTGCTCGCCGCCTCTTCCAATAACTGAAAAACAAGAATGAAATATTTCACTAGTAAATAGAACAGAACGTACCATTTACCTTACAAGCAAACACTTACTGAATCCAACCATTCCATCTGGAACCTTAAATTCCTCAGACGATGACCTAAATATGAAAACAAAGGTATTAGTGGGCAGAAAAGAAAACATATGCTTGTAGGTGATTGTTAAACATAAACTGAATTTACCTTGGTGGGCCACCCATTCCTGCCATGGCTGAAAAAGCTGTGGAACAACATTACAGTTCATTTAATATTTAGAAAGAAGAAAAAAAACATAATTTAGTTTAATTTAAAAGTTAATTGAATAAGTCCAAAAAACATGAACAAAAACTCACCGTCATTTGTAGCTACTTTCTTTGTTTCTGGTTGATCTGTGACAAAATAATCAAACATACTGCATAAACACTTTTATTATACAAAATAATTCATGCTTTTGAACCTGAAAACAAGTTGTGCATGTTATAAATGTCTAAGACCGGATTTATGGTATGAACTTTAAGAGCAAAAGTTTTAGGCTAAGAACACATGAGAAGCTGAAAAACATTCAGTGAATTTTGTTCAAGAACAATTAATCTCAACCAGGTATCACCTTCAGTTTCCTCTTTAATGGATGCATTCTACCCCCAACCAAACTTGTACAACAAGTCTTGCACACTTAAACCAACAGCAGTGAATAGATCATAGAGTCAGTTCAACTGTGTCACAGTCTTGAGCTTGTAGCTGCCTTTTTTGGCTTCAATTCCCCTTAACTAGATGGTATCATGTTTATTGTCAGTTGTCAATGAAAAGACACACTAAGCTCAACTTAAAAAGAAAAGCTTGAAATTGATTAACACTACAGTGGGTATGCAATTTAAAGTAAAGTCAATTTCTCCCCAACATACAAGAATGAAACATTTATTAAAAAATGTTAAACTATGCACCAACAAAGCTTACATCTGCAAAAATAATATTCTTGCCCTACAATTAAAACCTGCCTGACAAGCTAACGTTTACACTGATTATGAAAACAAGTCTTCTGTCCCCATTTTTATTTCTTTAGGTGACTGAAAAAATATGATCAATGATTGATTCAGAACAGCTGCAGACTCACAACAGTAGTGTGTAATAAAGCATGCAGTTGTTATGATCTTCACTGGGAAACGTGGAAATCTGGCGTCTAATGTGATAGAGGGTTGTGTTAATACTAATGATCAATTACATACATGAGATAAATGCATTGTAGAAGCTACTGAAAAACAGGGAAGCATTAATCGTGAAGAGTTGCATTAAGATAGATTTGAGCCACTGACCGATATTCAGGTTAGGCATGGGAAAATACCCACCAGCGTCCTCCAGGGGCCTTTTCTGGCCTCCGTAGCCAAACTCGTTCGTCGGGGGAGCCGCAACGCCATCTCCACCGATCTTGGCTGCGATCTGAAAAGAATAACATCAAAGGAAAATGTAGATTTTAACAACAGTTAGAGCTATGGCATACCAATCGGTGAAGGTGTGCGCGCGGCCTGCGGCCTACACTTCTGTGCGGAAGTCGATCCAACAAAGGATCGCTTCAAAATTCCAGTAAATGTTTATTTAACGACACATTAAAATAAAAATATATATTGTTGTATAAAACTGCGCGTGCTCTTTTAATTTTTTAGCAGACCGGTTAGCTTTGATCGCTTCAGGAACCTGTTTTCACTTTAGCGGTGTGGCGTAACTAGTCATCCTCTTATATTAGCCTAGCATAGCCTGTCGTTACCAATTGAACGGAAAGAACGGAAAACGTTCATTTTATCAAAGCATTCATTTTATTAGTATTTACTCGACCAGAAATTCTCACCTGTCTTGCTCGCTGTAGAGCGTCTTTAAAAGCATCGTTCATGCCCCCACCAGCGTTAGAAGACGGCGGAGCCACGCTGCTATAGTCTGCCATCTCCGATGCTCTTCTCCTCTGCCTTGCCGCGCCACAAGATGGAGGACTTCATTGATGACCGAAACGGCAGAACTCGCGGTAACGGCTTGGTCTCGCGATAGTAAAATGAAACACGTTAACAGGAAAACGGGCAAAATGTAAAAAGTACTGTCCGCAAATATTCTTCTCATTAACACAATAAATTAACTCAACTTGAGCCTTTTAGCCTGATAAAAAATACAAAACTAACAACAAGAAAGATACATTTAAATGCTGAAAGGGTTAATTTGGGCACTTTGAACAAACCATTATTTGAAATATTTCCACTGCTTTGTTTTCCGCTTGTTTGTCACGATAAGATTATCAGAACCAAAATAACAATTTTGTTATAATGTTACACTAAATTAGAGGGGAAAAAAGTTTCTATATTTCACCCTTGTAAGGAAATTGCGTTGTTTGCTGTAGGCTACTAACAGATTATATTCACATCATGAAATTAACAAAAATAATTAATAAACAAAGCAGGACCAGAATTAGATGTATAAATCAGCATAGTGGCTTGAAATGTCTACATCTATAAGCATAAAAGTGAAATATAAAGCTTGTTAACAATAACTACCATTCAGTATCCAAAATCATTTCAGACATAGAGATGGAAACTAGAATTCCCTCAGTGAAAGCGACTAAAAGGAGTTTTTGTGTGCCTGTATGTGGTGTTAAAATATGAAAAGACCTGAAGGATGAACACAAGCAGTGTCCCAATATTATATGTTTAAATGAAAAATATGTTACTTCACGTATATGGTAATGCAGAGTGATGACTATTTCTCTATTTCTTTCTATGGTGACTATGATTGTCATTGTTGTTGCCTTACTTATTTGGCTGTGACACCATCCTGGAGAGAAATATCAGTTGGGTTGCTCCTATCAGCAACTTTGTTTATAGATGTTCAATCTTGGCCTGCTTTTTTAGTGTAGTCCTGTTTCTCTCAATGTGACTAACTGTATGTGCTCTCTTTCATCCTCTGACCTAGGAGCTGGCTCGGAACTCGTCTGCATGGCTGTGTATTTCCTGGATGGGACCGCCTGTGGAGCTGGTTGACAGTTGCCTTTTGTATCTCTGCTTCTGTCTCCTTGAACCCCAGTCGGCCTCAGCAGTTGTCCTCTCACACTGAGCCTGGTTCTAATGGAGGTTTCTTCTCGTTAAAAGGGAGTTTTTCCTCTCCACTGTTGCTACATGCATGCTCGGTGTGAGGGATTGCCTTCAATGACTCAATGAGTCGAATCAATCAGCTGGTTTCCCTTTGACTGAAAACTGATCAATGCGGCTGTTGATCTGGTCGAATTGTTTTTGTAAAGGGCCTTGAGTTGGCAGTTGTTGTAAATTGGAGGTATATAGATAAACTGAATTAAACTGAATTCATAATGATAATAACAAGAATGTTATTGATAGCAGTATTTTACTGATAATGAATATTATTATAAACTAATGAATGGTGTTACTGTTGTTATTATTATAAGAACAATTAATAGTATTTTCACTATTCGCATTTATTGTCATGGATATTGTTGATAACATTATATAATAATAATAATAATTGTTATATAGAGAGTAATTCTTTAGTTTGTGCAGCAAAGGGGTGGGATTAAATAAGCATTTTCTTCTTCTCACTTGTTTTGAACAAAGACTTTTGTTTTTAGGGATATTTTTTTCCCCTTTGTTTCTACATTGTTTTGTTTTGAATTATTGCCCTATGTAAAATAAAAACTAAATTAAATGAGGTATAAATTGGGTATAAATGAGGTATAAATAAAAGGTATAAATTTTAAAAAAGAAGACAGAGTAAATCAGACAAAAAAAAACTGCATGAATGTGAGTATTGTAAGGGTATTCAACGGTATTAAAAGTAAGACAAAGGAAATAGACAATGGAAATACATACATCACAATGGGAGTTCAGTTCAGCAGAGTGATTTAGAGAGTGATTATAATAGAGTGATTATAATATATGCGGTTGTGGAGCCATGCTGGATTAAAGTGATAGAAACTTGAGGTGTTTGGGTGTGCATGTATAGCATCAGTCCTTTTAAAAGTTGTATAGAACTAATTAAGCTGTTTTCAATATTGAAGTACAGGAATGAATGATTCTGAATCTCCTGCTGATCCACAGGTGCTACAGGAGGTCATGCACAAGATGTGTGGTCTCTCAGATGATTTTCCTGCCTCTGCTTTGACCTAAATTCCCAAATGAGGTGAGAATCCATCACATTACCTTTGTGATTCTTTTGCAAAGCCTTTTGCTTCGTCTTATGGTATTCTTCATACAATGTTCTGATGCTGTAGGTCCCCCACTATGTTTCGGAGTTGAGGTAGGAGGTTCCGGGGTAGTTTAAACAGAATTGATCACTCTTTCTATATTTTAAAACTATACTATGGTTTTTTTCATACATTTTTGCAGTTCTTAATAGGAAGAGAAAAATGTATACAGTAACCTATTCCACTTATTCAGTAGTAGAATTTTTTTGTTAAAATGGGGAATATCTTAAAATCACTTACATCAAAAAATGTTATGTGTGATAGAAATAAATAAATCCCACCTACATATGTTGTAAATAAAACCTTCAAAAGGTGTTTTTTTCCTGGGTGTCCCTGTATGGTTCAGTGATCTGTGATACAACAAGAAACCTCAACATTTATGATTTGAAATATGTTTCATCAAAAGGCCGTATATTTGATCTTTCATTATACAAGGTCCAAACATTAACATTTCTGTTAATACAAGAAATACCACCAAGCAAATTATGCTCATTGAATCAAGAAAGGAGAAAAGGAATTTAAAGTTAGTGGAATGAATATCAAAGTAATGCTGCAAAGTATGAACACATTTTTATATATTTAATATTGTATAAAAGATGTACAATGGAGGCGGGATATAAAATGTTGCCTTTTTTATAACAGACTTAAAATAATAAAAAACTAAAATTTGAGGGGCAGAGGGTTTATAAACCAAAATAAAATCATCTATCTTTCATTAGTCTACTTTAACATAAATAAAGATTGTCTGGCTCATGGTAGGACTTTATTAACAGACCCCAGCAGATGGCATTTACATACAGAACACATGTTGAGGAATTCATTGTCACAGTTTGTCTTATTATTCATGTCCATTCAACCATTTTTCAGCCCTCAGCAGGTTTAATGGTGTCCACTCCTCATGCTGGTTTTATTTATGTAGTTGGAGACATTTCACAAAATGAATCAACAGGAAGTCTTTAGTTTGTTAAGGAAACTTTATCATACTGAAAAAAAAGCCAATGTAACAAAAAAGTTGATCCTCAAGACCCCATGGAAGAAAACATGTTTTCAAATTTCCTGGTCAGGCTGTAGTTAATCAGAGCACATGGAATAGCCCTGACAAAGCTAGCCCCCATGCCACTATAATATCCTCTAATTCCATTCCTTTCATATATCCCCGTGAGTCCGGATAGCACACCAGAGACTGGACGTGAATCAGAGCTGAAGGCTGAAAAACAAAGCAAAGCACAGTGAGGAAAGCTTCATTTCCCATGTTTTCAATAATTAAGATTGTGTCAGAAAGCTGCCAACTGTTACCCTGAGCTTGTTGCTGTGTCCGGATCACTGCCAGTGGGTAGCTGCTTATTTGCCCAGAAGAAAAAGCCACAAAACTAAACAAAAACAGCTTGGAGTCACTGTTGTAAGCGGGATCGCTTTTGGCCCAGCTCATGATCGACTGCGGCGAGAAGCAAATTAGTTTTTGTGAAGGGAGGATAAATGCAGATGATCTTTATGGGGTTTGGGGAAGCTCACCTGATGAACTGCACACTCCACACCTGCATAGGGGATCATGCAGAGGATACTGGGTTTGAAGCCTCTGTAAAAGGATGACATGGACTCCTGTTTGTAAATAGTTCGGGCGCATGCCACCACGCCATGATATGTGCCAGATTGCTGTAGATTCAGCCTCACCTTCAACACCTGTAGAGCAAATAGAGAGGGCAGAGAGTCCAGAAACACTTTCACTGGTTATACAGCACTATTTGCTAAGTTTTATGTTTTGTTTTTTTGCTCTAACAAATTTCTTTCAGAGAGAAAAAAACATATGTGAAATTTGTGAAAAATTAACCTCATGTTTTCTAGGCATAACTATTGCACAGTCCCAGTGTGTAAGCAACTGCTTAAAATTGAATAGGTAAGAGATTACACAGCTAAATCAAGAGTGTCTGACTGATTTTGCTCAAATTTAGAGTCAGAGTTAAATACAAGTATAAATCCTTGAAAACACAGTTTATATACATGCTCTCTCATCCACACCTTGTAGTCCTGGGTGGGGAGGGTGGCCCCCTTCATTTCAAGTACGGGCCCTCTACCAGAGGCCTGCAAGCTTGAAGGGTCCTCGCAGTATCTTGGCTGCCCCTAGAACTGCCCATTTCTGGACTAAGATGTTTGATGTTTCTCCAGGTATCTGTCGGAACCACGTCTACAATGTGGAGGTCACTGCCACCAGTGCTCCAATGACCACAGGCACTACAGAACCTTCAGCTTCCAGACTATCTCTAGTTCCTCCCTGAGGCCTTGGCATTTCTCAGATTTCTCATGTCCTTTTTTCCAGATGTTTCCATCATCTTGGATGGCCGCATCAATAACTACGGCTGTCCTCTGCTGCTTATCAAGGATCACAATGTCTGGTTGGCTGGCAACAGCCATTTTGTCTGTTTGTACTGTATCTGGAAGTCCCACAGGATCTTACCTCTTTCATTCTACACTACCAAGGGAGGTGGCTCCCATTTTGAATTGGGGGTTTCCAGTTTGTATTCTCCATAGATGTTTCTGGACGCTATACCAGCCTCTTGGATATGTTGTTTCCATGCATTTCTTTCCTTCCAGTATCGTACATCCTGCTCTGGATTGTTTCTGGGGCCTCTTTGCACAGTCTGCACCTGGGATCTTGCCTGTTGTGGTAGACCTGGGCCTCTATTGCTCTGGAGCTCAAGGCCTGCTCCTGTGCTGCCATGATCAGTGCTTCTGTGCTGTCCTTCAGTCCATACCTCTCTAACCATCAGTAGGATTGGTCATATCAGCATCCCATGCAGGATTTTCTCCTCAAAGAATAGTTCATCCAGTTCCTTCAGTATATATATATATATATAAATATATCATTCAACGTTAGAAACCAGTTCTAATTAAAACAAGAGCTTGTGAAAAGTTCCTAGGTCTAAAATGAATGTGTAACAACTTGCAATTGGGGAATGGGCATCCTATCTTGGCCATGTAAGTAATAAAAGGGGTTTGTTGCATATTTGTAAAAATGGGCGTTAAGGGGTTAAAACATCTAAAACTTATATTTGCCTGATAGTCCATTTATATTCATATATTTGACAGAGTCAGAAGGATAGAGAGGGAGATGAAAAGTCTCCAAAGCTCACTGTAGAAGCGTTGCAGGAAGAAGTAATATTAGGGGATCACCGACTATTTGACCTCATGCTCAACTCAACCAGTTGTTGGGGAAAAAAGGTATTTCTGCCCTACATTTACAAATAGAAGGATGTGGAGTTTTTTTAAATCATAATAATGCTTACATAAAACAAATTTTTTTGTCAGATGAGATATTGATGGAGCTCTTCAGTAGCAATCACACTGGGAGGGAAGGTTGGATAGTGAAACAAATGATAAGTACCCAGAACAGCACCTGGGTCTAATCTGAGATGTCTGAGCCTTTTTGTCTACCAAACCTGTTACAATGTATGGCATGATGGACTCTGACATGTCAGAGCATTGAGTAAATGGCTCATCCCATGAAAAAATAAACCGGCCTTTATGGCTATCTCAGCTCCCAGACCTAAATTCTGCAAAAAAAAAACAAACAAAACAAAAAAAAAAAACTGTGGAGTAGTAAGTTAAAGAGAAGTGAGCAGAAGAGAGAATCCAGGACTGGAGGAGGAGAAAAGATTTTGCAAAGGTCAATCTCTCTCTTTAAACGACAAAAATGTGCAATAAAATAAAAAAGCTAGAGGCTGTCTGACTGGTGAAACTGAGTTGTAGATATACACACGACATTGTATTTTTCCTAAAACCCAATATCCAAATTTATCAGTGATGAGTTAATATCATTTCAACAGAAAAGCAGAAATATTTAGGCATATACAGCTGTTCCTGAACTCTGATACCTCCAGTGGGTAGAAAACAGCATGGGCCACAGCTCCAGAGATGCAACCCAAGCCGAAGCGCTGCCACACCGTCAGAGTCTCCTGGCTCCTGTTTTGGGTGTAAACCTTCATCTGAAGGAAGAAGAGCGGCTCAGAAACAAGAAGCCATTCATGAATCATTCAAATGTCCTGACGGGCCTTACCTGTGCATAGATAAGACATTGCAGTGTGGACTGTGGAGTCCCTTTTAGCACATTAACAGCATTGCCTTGCCACATCGACCGCAAACCACCTCCTTTTAGTTCTTGAAAGCTTTGGGAAAAGGCCCTTGATCCTTGGACCTGTGAAAATAAATAACCCATATACATGGTAAACTTTGATGTAATTGCAATGTTTAGAGTAATGTGATATTCTCAAGGATATCAAAACTGCTGTTTGACCTGCAGTTGAGTCTTCAGTCGGTCTATAGGCGCTGTTGCAGTGCGGGACACTGCATCAGCCAGACCTGCTGATAGAACAAACGTCCTCCAAGCTCCAAACCCAGACACATTGTCTGGGAACTCAAGAGGCATCGCTCGACTCTCCCCCACATCGAACACCTGCAGAAACCCCATCACAGAGATCTCCCTCATCAGTATGTTAGGGTCTGTTTTGTTTTTTTAAATCTCCAAATCTGTTAGAAGATTTTACCAGACTGTGTTTCCATGAGGAAACAAGCTCGCCAATGTTGTCCACAGGATTGAGGATGACATGGTGCAGGAACTCATCCCAGTCCACTGTCATGGACCTGTCTTTGTCCATCCTGGTGAAGAAGGACAGAAATTAAACATTAGAGAAAAAAACGAGTCGTTAATGCTACCTATTAGTCCAGATTTTAATTGTTTGAATTAGGTAAATATAAGAATAAAAAAAAAGTCCATCTTTAGATAGACACAAAATAAACACATTTTGCTTTGCAACCATTTTGTTCACATTTCTGAAAACCAAAACCTTTATTTTTAGTATTAAATATTATAGTCTTTATCTTCCAGTTTATCTGAGTCAAAAAACCCATACAAATGTATAAATTAGTCCTAAACCCCATTCCATCATTCTATTATAAAAAAAAAAATATTACCAAACATATGAAAATATACAAAGGGGGTTTCATTAAAAACATAAAACTGAGATTAGTGTACAGTTCCAGTCATAAGTTTACCTATATTCATTATAGGCAGGAATCACATCAGTTTTTATGCATCATAATTATGTATTTAAGCATCTTTTCTACCAGGAGGGAATAACTAAGACAGACTTCAATGATTATTAAAACATGAAATGTGTGCATGTTTGAATTTAGTTAGTTTAAATGTTCAGCATGTTTAAACAGGCTCAAATATAAACCTTTGATCAAATGTTCTTTTTACTAAATATATAACAGAAAACATCAGAGAAGTAATAAACTGTTGTCTTTCAAGGTTATTGCATTTTTTTTCTTGTATAATGATGAAACTGGAAAGAGAGTGGTTCAAATCAATCATTAAAAGACATAAACTGATTAGAAAAGGAACTCCTGCTTGGAATCATCCAGTCTTTGTAAATGCTTTTATGACACCTATGAATGTTTATCCAAGAAAATAAAAATGAATCCATGAAGTTATAATGCGCAGAAGAAATCTTACATTTGAATAATTTTTTTTGCATTCGGCTTTGATATGACCACTCCTAACTCCTTAAACAAACATATGATGTCCTCCTGGTCAATCACTCCTGATCAGAGAAGAGATACAGAGAATTACAAACACACACTTTGCCGCTCATCCTCTTCATTTCCTGCAAGTCAATTAATCACAGCAGTTTCGGCATAAGTGTAAAGGTCACAGCAGTGCTGCAGGTTGTGTTCACCATAAACACATTTTATGCTTCTGTGCGAACCTTCATTCATTTGACCTATAAAAGCATATTTTACTATATGAAATGAAACAGTGTAATCCAACGAGGAAGGTATACACATGTGTAGAATTCATGCAGATTACATTTTAAAAGGGGAAATCTGATTAAAAGTCCTGTTAATAGTTGCATTCTCTGAAAGGAAGACATGGCTGATTTTTGTTTTACTCACCACAGCTGTTCTTGTCAAGGTCATTAAAGTGAATTTTCCATTTCTTCTCTCTATCCATCATGTAGCCGAGGAATTCTTCATAATCCAGCAGGCCATCTTTATCTTTATCATAAGAATCAATGATATTCTACAAGGAAATAACTTTCTCAATAAACAATTTAACTACAGGCAGACTCTAAACACTTAATGGCTTATTACCTGGACCTTTCCATCTCCTGAGATGATCCCATGCTTCCTCATCTCGTCATGGAGCTCTGCCACCGATATGAATCCATCCTTGTTCTGGTCCAGTTTGACAAACAATCCTCTGAACTGATCCATGCTGCTTCATGAAGAAATTATTCTTTTTCTCAAAATGTAAGACGCCAACAAATTAACAACCAGCAGACTTCTTCATTCGCAGACTGTATTCATGATGGTTATGACCAGATGATCAGATATTACTGACCTGCAGCTCTGCAGTCTGCACCGACGCTGACTCATCAACAGAGCCGATGCGATTAAACGCACGTCCAGGAGGGGGCGCTGTTGCTACAAAAAAGTACAGAAGCTTATTGTATTCACAGAAAAGGAAACAAGAAAGCTTTATGTTGTTCTAAATTAACAAGATAATGTAAAATCAAAAAATGAATTAATTCTGAATTAACAGAACATTTTTTATGAAATAATCCATTTCATTTTATTTATGAGAAACACGTCTTTGTGAAGTTTTCTTTTCTTTTTTTTTTGTGAAGTCCATAGTCTACATAACTCAACTCAATTCAATTCAGTTTATTTCTATAGCACCAATTCACAACACATGTCATCTCAAGTCACTTTACAGTTCACCAGATCATACAGTCAAATTGATTCAAAGTTTTCTATCTATGGAAAACCATTTGATTGCATCGACTCATTGACTCGGATGCAATCCCTCACTAAGCATGCTTATAGCGACAGTGGAGAGGAAAAACTGCCTTTTAACAGGAAGAAACCTCCAGCAAAACCAGGCTCAGTGTGAGCAGCCATCTGCTGAGGCCGACTGGGGTTCAAGGAGACAGAAGCAGACATACAGAAAGAAGGCGGCTCTGTCCAGGAAACACACAGCCAGGCGGACGAGTTCTGAGCCAACTCTCATGTTAGAGGATGAAGAGAGCACATCCAGCCAGTCACAGTCAGAGAAACAGGACTACACTGGAAAAACAAGCCGATCCCCAATATCTATAAACAAAGGTGTTGATGGATCAGCTGATATTTCTCTCCAGGATGGTGTCAGGGGCAATTAGGAACAGATGAGGCGAAGCTACCATGAGAAAAGTCAGAGAGAGCATAATGTTAGAGAATAAACTAAGAGACAAGAGAATACCCCATTGTCTTGATCCCTAAAGAAAGTAGCCAGTGGAGGAGCTATACTTTTAAAACAGTGGTGGCAAAGGAGATGTGGGGTGGCGGTGGGGGTCAATATATATATTAGGAGTTCAGTTAGACTACAAACAATAATTATTTTCTGCAAAATGTGTATTGATTAAATTAAAGTTGTTTATTTTCCAAAATATATACAATTATGTTCAGTACAATGTGTTATAAATTAAGTATACAGCAAAAATAGGAATAAACAAGAACTCAGTGTGCTCCATTGTATCCAGTAGTAAACAAAACTTGAGGTAAATTTGAACCTGTCAAAACAAGACAGGACAAGCAGCCGTGCACATTTAAATGTGTACCACAAGAATAATAATAATAGAAAAACAGCACAAAAAAAAAACATACAGCCCTTTAAAACTATCTGTATTTCTGTGTTTAGCTGGTCATACAAATCTACATCACCGGACCGTACCTTTCAGCCTGTCAGGGATCATCAATAGGAGGCCGCATCAAGTCTATTGTTACAACTAATCATGGATCCCTTTCAGAAAATACCCCTGGATCAGTGCTTTTGTGTTCACTTACTGTATATGCTCTCTCAAACCCACAGGAAGATAGCTGTTAACACGGAGCTTGGTTCTGTTGGAGGTCTCTTCCTGTTAAGGGGAAGTTTTCCTTTCCACTGTAGTCATATGTACGCTGGGTATGAAGCATTACGGCAAAAATCTGTAAAACACTGCAACTCTCACTATGCGCTCATCCAGGTGGAGTGAATGAAGCTAGCTAATAACTACAGAATATGCTGTGAATCTTACATTGAAAACTTTTATTTTTACTTATATTGAACTAACTGTTTTAAGAATATGTGTGTTCTTAGAATGGCACTATATGTTATAGCCTGTGTAAGGCAGCCTGGCTTGTGTCAGTGAGTTTCAGAACAGCTGTGGCAGCAATGTAGCCTACCACAATCAGTATGTTAGATTCAATGGAAATGTTTCTACTGCTGGACATAAAACAGACTTATTGTATTCTGTTTTATAGCAGATAGTTTCTTATGGCATCCACTTACAGGGATATTGGAAGTTTGACTGCAGGAACATATAGCTGCAGCAGTTATGACCAGTAGCAGATTTTAAAGCTACATAATTGGCCAGTTTAGGTGTAAAATTAGCCTAAATAAAAATACACAATGTAATGTAGATGGAATTTTAAAAGACTCGTAGAGTGCCTTGTTGTAAATTTTTCATACAATGTAGGTGTTAAGTCTGTTTCTGGTGTAATGTCCATTTATACAGCAACTCTGAGGTAAATCTGACGGTTCAACATTATGTAGAGTGTGTGGTGTTGTCCAGCTGGCTGAGTAGTTTCTGCCATATTCTTATTTCTACAATGTTTCTCACAGCCTTTTACTTTTATCAGTTTGTCAATCTGAGTCACTGACACTGATGCTTCCAACATGACAGATGGCTGAAAAGACTGAAGAATTATACAATTCTTTTACTTCTAGAGTTTAAATGAGCATTGTTTCAAAATCCATTTATCTGAAGTGAAGGCACCATCTCTACCCTTTCTCCTAAAGTTCCTACTTTTCAGCTCTGACTTGTAGACATTCAAAATGAGCTGGAAATGATTCCCTTCTCTTTTTTTACTTCTAGTCCAAAGTTTAGAAACTAAACAAAAGCAAAGTATATCTACTGTTATGAGGACTGAAATTGTATGTATGAGAATATAGCAGATATATTTTTAAAGTACTCGTATTCTTAACATCTTTAATATTGTATCCAAAAAATATTTATGTTGGGTTTATCCAAACCCAACATAAAGTGGGGTTATTGTCAGGTGAAAACAGCTTTTTATTCACAGATCATTTTAAATGTTATTAAATTTTGGTCCCATCTGACTTGAAAGCAGTGGCGGTTCTGTGAAACATAACCTGCACTGAAGGGTGGCCAGCCGCAAAATTAAAAGTTGGCCGAAACCTTATTAGAGTCAATCTACACTGATCACAATGAACCAATGGGAAGATGAATGCCCACATATCATATTTGCCAAATAAATCACTGAAAACAGACCAGATTTTCATGAGCCTCTTGCAAATAAAGCTGCACACATGTTTAAATATGGTTTCTGTTTAATTATGGTCTACATTATACATACATTAAATTGGTTGAACAGTTGTTCTTTATCATTAATTACATAGAATATGACTGCAGAGATAATCTCTACGCCAAAAAATATAAAACTAATTCTTAGTCCTTTTTAATTGTAGTATATTGGTAAGAATAATCATGTCGTAAACAACTGCTGTATTTTTGTTGTTCCTTTTTGGTTAACATACTAACTTTAAAATGCTAAAGTAGGACATTCCTGCTGCCACCCTCTGGTTTAGAGGAGAACTGCTTGTTCCAGAGGTGGTGAATTACATCCCAGTGGGAACATCAAATGAACCTGTTTGGAGAGGCCAGTGATTGGTGGCCAGTGATTTGAAAGCACTGTTTTCAACGGCTACTCCGACACATCTTCTCTATGGCCTGTTGCAAACTGGAAAAGGGTTAAATCCCCACAGGTCTCTCAAAAAAGGCTTTTTCTTACTATTCTGAAGGCCATCAATATATGGCCTTCCTGAAAGAGTGCAGAAGTAACAATGGTCATGTGGACAGATTCTCTTTCTAAGCTTTGGATCTCTTTGTCTTCTTTACTTTTTGACAATCCTTTCCAAGCCTGCTATTAAGTTCGCTGTCATCCTAAGCCTTTATCAGATAATGAATTTAAAAAGCTCTGTGAGCTGTTTACAATGATGAGTTCTGACATAAAATCAGCTTTAATCTTCCCCACAACATTATATTTGACCTCTCTGCGTTTTTCCTTGGTGATTGTTATGTTTGTTCTTTAAAAAAACCTTCAGAGTATTATTTACACACAAGTGGGCTCTAACTGATTTCTGAGCATAGCACTGCTTTACATCCAGGGATATCAGAGTAAAGGGGGCTGAATAATGCATTAAATACTCTTAAAATATGTAATATGTCAAAAACCATGGATAATTTTCTATCACTTTACAATAATGGACAGCTGTGTGTAAATCAATCACAATGAATCCCAATAAAAAATATTGAAGACTGAGGTTTTAATATAGAAAACGTTAAAAATAAATAACTAAATGTTATGGGGTATAATGTTTGTGATGCATTGTATCCATCACTAGACATAAATCTGACTTCTCACAAAGAGATGTTGGCTCAGGTAAAATTCGCAGGTTTAGAATTTCTCATTCACTAGGTGTTGTGTCAGTCTTCACAAAACTAATTAAATAAATTAAAGATGGGGGATTTCATTTTTTATCAATTTTAAATCTTAATTTAAAAGGTAAGATTATTTGAAACAGATTGCTGTGTTCCCATACTGTTTTCTGACAGGTGATGGAAATGAGAATGTGGGATTATTTCCACCATGACGTCATGCAGGTAAAATATGACGCGGGGGGACTTTTTGGATCACCTTTTACCTCCGCCAGCATGGGCAAAGGAGCCCCATTTAGAAAATGACGAGACACACATTTGTTTTCTAGAAACAGCCGCTGGCTTTCATGAGCAGACAAGTTCAGTTGGATTCAACTACACCGGAAACTGTCTTTCAAAGTAAAAGCTGCTTCGCTTCTATTATAGTTTAAATTTAAATAAAACAAAAATGTGAATTATGTGTTACTGCATTAAAAACAATTGAAAACATCCATCATTTTAAATAATCATACCAATAGTATTCTTTAAAAGTTTATCATTATTAGCAAAAATAAATAAATTGTTAAACATAGCTGAACTTTTTATTAGGGCTAATATATTAAAAGTTTAGAAAAGGCTACCTAAATGTATTACATATTTTTAACTAAAATCAAGAAAAAATTAGATAAGAAATACAATAAAAAAAAAGCAATATTATCATTATATTATCTCGTGCATTGTTTCTATTTCTCCTAAAAAAATAAATAGTTAACAAAAAGATCCTAAAAGAATGTAGCCATTAAACAAACCAACACACTCTCAAAAAATTAGATGTCAAAAAGAAAAACAGTCTTTTCGGGCTAGGCAACATGTCAAAATATACACCAGGTCAGTCATTTTTATGAATAAGAGAAAAAAAACCAGAGAAAATAAGACACAGAAAAAAAAAAGAAAACAAAGCACTTAATAAAATGAATCAGTTCAGTTCAAAAATTCTTTACTGATTCAAAAGGGAAATTAAATGTTGTAACTCATAAGAGCATTTCAATGGATTGTTCTAGATGGAATGCCCTTATGAAGTGATCTCTCTTGCCTAATGTCATCAACATATAAAAAACAACTTATAAAAAATAGAGTAAATACACTATTAATATACTGTATGATACACTATATCATACTATTTGTTCAATGCATTTTATATTATTGACACAATTACTAAACATACTAGTAATTGTCTTGACAATAATACTAATACCACTAATATTAATAATAATAATAATAACAATTCTATAAAAGGTAGGCTACCTGAGATCATGGGCGATTCTAGACAGGGGCCAGCTCTTGACACCTGTAAGAGCCCCAGTACTGAAAACATAAACTACAAACATTACAATGTATGTTATTTTTTCTATACTATAAGTGTAGTTTCTCTGATTTGAGCAGGTAAGACATTTTAGAATGTTTTACAATTAGATTAAGAAAAAAAAATACAATCCTATTATGGAGTGGATATTATTTCAAGGGAACACTTACATTTCAAAGGGAAATACTCATGCCATCAGAAGATAGTTTCATTTACCTGCTCAATTTAAGGGCAAATATAGGACTACTTATTTCTACCTTTTTTAGATCAGAATTTGGAGGTTAATACTAAATCATCTTTATATGAGAATTTGCGCTGAAATAAGAACACAACTGTTTCCCCCCTTGGAGTAATTTATGATTTTGAGTGTTTGTCATTTTCCCTGTTCTGCCAGTCACCAAACTCGATTCAGAAAGCCCTCTGGCTGGGGTCAAACACAATCGAACCCAAAACCTTCTTGCTGCAAGGCAGCAGTGCTACCCACTGTGCCACTGAGCAGCCTATCTTAATTTTTTTTTTTACATTAAAAAAATAAATAAATAAAAAAGCCATCTGTACCGATGTTTTTTTAAAATGAATAATTGCCCCCCAATTATTTATTTATTTATTGGTGCCCTATTGTGCCCCTGTATAGTATTGGGTCAGCTGACGCCCCTGATCTAGAACCGCCTCTGCCTGGATGTAATTTTAGGTCTAACCGGATGCAGAATAGTTAAATGTGTCTAATTTGATATGAGCGTCGTCTCTGCATGGGAGGGAGCTGTGGTCTATTTAAAGCGGGTCATCCAGCCACGGATGAAATAGCAGAAGATCCACAGCCTGGTCTGGATCTCCAAAGCTCCTCATCCAGTCCTGATTTGATCCAAGCTGCGGCTCCAAGTCTCCTTGCTTTAAACAAGCGGCCCTCTGACAGAACCGGGGCTATTGAGCTCCTCATTTTTATTTTGTACATTTTATATTGATTATTATATTTTTTCTACACAAAAATGGGGAGAGACTACTACAAGACGCTGGGGATCTCCAAAGGAGCAACAGAAGATGACCTAAAGAAAGCTTACAGAAAACAGGCGCTCAAATGGCATCCTGATAAAAACAAGTCCGCAGCCGCCGAGGAGAAATTTAAGGAAATCGCCGAGGCTTATGAAGTCCTTAGTGATCCAAAGAAAAGGGAAATTTATGATCAATACGGAGAAGAAGGTAATGTGTGTGTGTGTGTGTGTTTTGGTTTTTTTAAAGGTTTGCATTTTATTACTGTTAAAATACAGCATTGGTAATGAACCCCCCCTACAGAGCTGGATTTCTGGCTGTAAAAGACAGATGGCTTTGATTCAAGGCACCTTGCAACCAGCAGGGCCTGGAAGCTGCTATCCAGGGCATCATGAGCATAATATGAAATTATAAAAATAGTCGAATTGCATCAGATTATCAGATACATGGGATTCATTTAAAATGCATTCTTTCAACATTATGATGTTTGTTTTAAAGTTCTTTTTTTAATCAAAAAGGCAAAACCTAAATAATCTTGTCACAACTATGGAATGTGTGCAAAAAAAGGAAAAGGTCCAGATGGCCATGGCTGGGGACTCTAACCATCTGGTTCTTTTTTTTTATTTTTATTTTTTACCTTCCTTGGATCCTACATTGAGGAAAAAGGTGTGAAGGAAATGTCTGGAAGACAAAGCACAATATTTATGTCAAAGAAAACATGGACACTTTAAGACAAGCAAAACAAAATAAATGAGAGCTTCCATTATATTAATGACATTTTGCATCCATGTCCTTTAGATTCATAACCTAAAATCTAAAGTAGTCAGTACAACACAGATTTCTAAACCTGGTCAAACTCTGTTTTAATGTGTCTTTAGCTTTTAATGCAAACAATTCAATCTGAAAAACTCACACGAAGAGAAAAGACAATTAGGAGAAATTTATTGATACAATTACTTTGTCTTTGGTGCTCAGACCTAGGCAGGAAACATAGCACTTAATTTTGATAGATATGCATGAACTGGAGCAAAGAATAGGGGCTGTTTCCCCCCCAGGCCTGAAACTGGTGGTGGAGTGGAGACAGATGAAGTTGGTCAGTCTGTAGGCTGCTGGTTAGCGAGACAGTATGCTGAGCTCTATGGGGAGATCCAGTGGACTGTGTGAGCTGATACTAGAGCTTCACTCAGGGACCTGGAAGATGGAAGTCCAGTTGGAAAACACAGGTTGAGAGAACCTGTCCATGATGAGCAAGCATGAAGCAACAGTGGAGAGGAAAAACTCCCCGTTGGAAAGATACCTCTGGCAGAACCAGGCTCAACATGGCGGTCTTCTGCTGGACTGGTTAAGATGAGACAGGGAACGTAGTAAGAGTCCGGGAGGAATGACACTCTGATGAAGCTGTAGCTATGATGGTGGAGGAGGGGCTGGAGGTGGGTTGAAATGGGGTCATCTGAATCTGAATGAAGTCAGACAGCGCATCCGCCGCCTGCGCACAGGAGCAGACAGGTACGGATCGGAGGCTTTTGAAGATGACGTTTGAATGTCGATTGGCTTTCGTGGAGGTAAGGTTCTAAGCTGATTGGCTGTGTCGCAGGTGGATGTAGGAGAGCAATGAGTTTCTTCAATTGAACTTCCGCCTGGGCTCCATTATTGAGCAAACCTTAATTTTTATTTTATTTTTTTAAGCTGGAACATTGCAGTTTGATCCATTCTGCATACGACTTAGAAATCAAGCTCAGGGAAATTACTTTTTTTAGGATGCATTGTTTATATACGGTGCTTTTTGTGGGCATACAGACAAATGAAAGTACCTTACACCAGAGCAACAATCCCTACCCAACATGCTGATTGACAGGAAGGAATTCAACCCACAACTTTAATGTTGCAAAACAGCTTATACCATTATTCACCCCATTACAGCTAGATTGAACTAATAGCCAAATCTATTTTTCAGGTCTGTACAAATTAAATTCCAATCAGTTCATTACAAGTACAGTCCAACCTCATGGTTAGATTAGATTAAATTGCAATTCCTTCATACTCACTTAATGTATATGTAAACACAGACACCTTTGGGATGTCATGATGAGTTTTGAATGAGGACCTAAATGCAGAACTAAGTAGAGACAAATTAAAGTTATTTAATGTAGTAACATTTGGATGATTGAAAAGGAAAGCAGGCAAGACAGAGGGCAAATAAATAGAATATTCCATGAAAGACGGATGAAAATCCAGCTGCTTAACATACTAAAGTACAAGAGCACTAAACGATAGAAAAACAAAAATACCAAAGGGGAGACATAACCAAATTCTTAAGAAATATGACATGAAAGAAAAAAAAGAAGAGAAAAAAAAAATAAAGGCAACATTAAATGAATAGAGATTAGTAGGTGAGAGTAGTTCAGTAAGGAAAGTGCTTTGTCCAGCTGACTAAGCTCATAGCAGTATAATAGATAGTGAAACTCAGGATAGCCTGCTCAAACTAACTTGCTACCTTCAATCTCCATGGAAACCACCTGTTTTATTGACCAGTGTGAGACAATAGTCTCCACTACTTCACAGGCTACCCTTGGCTTCAATTTTTCAACAGCACCAAGATATTTAGCAGTACTTAAAAGCAAAACACAACAGCCTGCCTAACATTCAGGTGTATCTGCTGTCTGCCTGTAGGAGCTGTAAAATAACCTCCTTTTATCTGTAAGATCCACATTCACATTAGTTCCTACCCTTCTTCCAGAAATGTATCTTTTAGGTTAGACACTGATGCTGGATGAAAACACCTGGTGCTTTCCACCTGCTGTAACCAGGGACATGGGGACATGTTTTAACCCACCGAAGTGACTTTTTGCATAGCCTTTGCTGATGGTTATGATGCAACTATTGGGATTTGAAACCCTTTCCATGAAGCTCCCAAAGCACTGCCTTTTTAACTGATCTGAAGGCCACATCATATTGCCTGTGTCTTTAGACGAAGCCACTGCATCTGCTATCGTCTCTGATTGTGCATGGCTATCGCTTTATGGTCACTTTCTGTTAGTTCCACTGTAATAGTATATCACTTTGTGATAATGTGTTCCTGTGGTCTGTGGAGGTCTAAGAGCTCAACCAAAACAACACCCTCGGTCTGAGGACTTTTCTAGGTTTCATCTCTCATCTGAGGTCCTGAGATATGGATATTGACTAAAGGAATGAGATATAAGGAGCTGCAATATTTGTTAGCTTAAAGTAAAGATAATCTGAAAAAGAAAAAAACAAGCATCTCCTCCACATTGATCAATTCTGGTCTGGTTACCTCCAGGTCGCCTTCCTTAAGGGATCTTTTGAGTATGTCCCACTGGTAAATATAGACATGATTAATGTAGAGCTTTTCTAGTCAGACTGAGAACTCAAAGCATTTTACATTACAGTCACATCCAACCAGCCACACGTATAAATGTGCACACATTCACACTCTTCAGATTGCAAGGCAACTACTATTTCCACAAAGCCACTGTCACTTCTGGAAGGAGACTCATTGGGGTGAACAAGAACCCACTGAATTTACATTATTACATCCTTTCAGGTTTGGGATTCCTTTGGGTCCTACATACTGTAACTATTATTGCTGGAAAGGTTGAGATAATTATGCATGACATACCTTAGACTAATAGTTACTGTAATTGAATAAATCACTAAAGCTTCTCCTGCATCAAATGTAGGGATTGCTTGTTTAATTCCATAAAGTGTAGTCTTAACTAAATGGTTATAATTTTTACAGTAAAGGTGTGATGAATCTTTCTTCTTGCCCTTCAGGTTTGAAAGGAGGAAATGGACCTGCTCCTGATGGACAAGGTACCAACTTCACCTACACCTTCCATGGAGACCCTCATGCAACTTTTGCCACTTTCTTTGGCGGCTCCAACCCCTTCGAGATGTTCTTTGGCCGTAAAGCGAACGGCAGAGATGACGAGGACATGGAGGTGGACGGAAACGACCCCTTCGGCTCCTTCACCAGCTTTAACCTGAACGGCTTTCCTCGGGATGGGCACGGAGGGCAGCAGCGCCGGAAACAGGACCCGCCTATTATACATGAACTGAGAGTCACTCTGGAAGAGGTCTTTCAGGGCTGCACCAAGAAAATGAAAATATCACGCAAAAGGCTAAATCCAGACGGAAGGACCATGAGGACGGAGGATAAGATTCTCACCATTGAGATCAAGAGGGGCTGGAAAGAGGGAACCAAGATCACGTTCCCGAGGGAGGGAGACGAGTCACCCAACACCATTCCTGCCGACATTGTTTTCGTCATCAAGGACAAACCTCATCCTCACTTCAGGAGGGAAGGCTCCAACATTGTGTATCCAGTTCGTGTGAGTTTAAGACAGGTGAGATGGTTTTTATTATAGCACTTTGACTGAGCATGGTAATATTTATAGAAGCTGGAGCTGAATTAGTCACAGTTTCAGAACATGCGGCTGTGAGGCTGCGACTTAAACTCTTCAAGCCTAGTCATGATCAATAAACTGTAGGTGGTCTGCCTGGAAAGCTTAAAAAGACTGCTGAATGAGCTCCACTCACACTTTAGCTCTGCAATTATGCAATCTGGATCATCAACGTTGATGAACGGGAGCCGTTTCTGCAGAGGGGTGACTGCCACCCACGTGCACACGATGTAAGTTCTCTGTGGTTCTTCCCACTCTGTTCAGATCTGGCTGTTACATCTCACCTTTTCATTTTTTAAAGTGTGATCCCTGCACGCAAGCGGTGGCAAAAAAAAGCTGCGTTTGATAGGATTCATGAAGGGGAATTCCAGTAGACACGAATTTACTTTCCAGTCCCAGTGAAATAATAGCCGATATGACGTTGATAGCTGTGATTTAGAAATACAACTGGGGTACACATGAACAATTAAAGATTGCAAATCTAGGTAAAAAAAACTAAATGGCTTTGTGTTCATTAGATGTGAGCAAAGTGTATATGTTAAACAGAAAAACTGGAAACAATTAAAAACTATATGACCGTCAGAACTGGTGCTATTAAGGTGAGGACCACAAGTTCTCCTTTAAGGTGAGATAGTTTCAGTTTAATCTGGAGCTGTCTTAACAGCATAAGAAAATTCGATCATGTAACAGGATGAAACTGCAGCAAAATCTCTTTAGCAGACTGGCTGAAAAAGAAAAAGGTAAAGGTTGCAACAGTCCAGGTGGATTAAAGCGTCGGCCTAATTGCAACCCTGTTAAGAAACAGACCTTTGAAAAGCTGAAAGACCTGAAGGATCTGTTCTAAAGAGGAACGAGAGAAGATTTCTGACTCATTCATTTCAGAGACTGCCTAAGTGGTACATGAAATGACAAAACACAGCTAATAATGTGTATTTATAAAGTGTTACATCACCGGTGTATTATGACTTACCATGATTTTATTAGAAATTCACAAAAAGGTTTTTTACACCTAGAAAAGTCTTCAAAGAAAAACATCTTCACAATTGTTTTGGGCTGCAATGTCTAAAAGGTAAAATAATTCAAGTCAGCAAAGTTTATCGCTGTTTAAAAATAAAAACAGGAAACTCGGAAAATAATCAGTTCGCTATCATTATAATTTAAGCAAATGTAGAAAGTGGAGGTTGAAACCAGTAACGGGTAATTAACCGACAACAAGCAATAATTATTTCTGCAATGGTAGACTAAGTCTTTGCTACCAACTGGATGCATATTGCCTTATTTATACTACTATAACAAAACAATTGATTTACTTTATTCAAAGCTATTTTCTAAGATCACATTTAATGATTTTTACAATGTTTTCTATTAAATTTGTTTCAGGCTTCTCACCCAGATGATTGTATTTACTCTTTAGGAAAGTTTGGAATTTGTTAGAAAAAAATAAGAATTTAAAAAAGTAACTCCAAGGCCACCAAGAGTGGCAGAGGTGGTTTGAATACATGGAATATAAATCCATATTGTGTTTGTTAGTATGTGGATTTATCCAGTAAGGAGAGGAAGTCTGGAGAAAAGGTTATTTAGAGCAACAGATGTCATGATCTCTGGACTGTGAGTCAGTAAGCCAGTTTGGCTCAGAGTTTGGTGATATTCTTGCATCTATTTTGTTCCTGTGTTCAATTAGTTTCTCTTACACAATTTGTCCCCCTGTATATTTGATATTTTCCCAGCCCTCCTGCTTTAGTCGTCCTGATCCATGTCCCCACACAGCTACACTCTATTTCATTAAATATACTCACTTGTTAGTATATTGATTATCAGCTCAAATGATCACAACTCTTTCAGTTTCTGTTACCTCTTGGCACATCCTTGTTTCCTGCTGGGTTCCTGTAATTTTAGAATAGAATAGAATATAAATAAACTTTATTGTCATTACACTGTCACAAGTATATAGCAACAGAATGTAGTTCGCATCTATCCAGAAGTGCTATAAAGGATATAAAAATTTATTTACATGTGCACAGAGACTATGTATGCTTTCACTATTAATGGCATCTTTAAACAGAGAGTAGTTGTAAGAGGCTATAAAATCAATAAATATTAAAAAGTATATACAGATTATACAGGGAAGTTAGGATATGGATCACACACATATATATATATATATATATATATATATATACATTTTTCTCTTTTTTGTTAAATAAATCAGCTCTGTATGACTACATCATGATAAAAAAACAATGCTGTCTATCATACTGTTATATAGAATTAAAATATACATTTTTGCTATGATCCACTGTGTAAACCCCTTTGTGAAGAATTGGTATCCAAAATCAGTCTTAATTGGGTTACTTGTTTTAGATATTGCCCAAATCAAGTGGATGAATGATTAGTAAAATATCTGCAAAATATCTGACATGAAGAAGAGCTTATATATGAGTTTGAATCAGCTGTGTTGTAGCAGAGACATATGTTAGGCCTTTGATTCATCAAGGTGACCATGATGTCCTCTCTGCTGTTCATTATGGCCTCACGGCTTTATGGAGAAATAGAAATCACCTTTATAAATAATATTTTTTTCAATATTACTCTTTAAATCAAGTTATTGGCAGTAAATCATGTGAGGGTTGTTCTTCTCTGAATCCTCAATAATACCCTTATCCCTCATCTTTGCAGTCATTGTGCGGATGCTCCGTCACCGTGTCCTCCATAGACGGGAAGACATCTCACATGAAGATCACTGACGNTTTGTGAAGAATTGGTATCCAAAATCAGTCTTAATTGGGTTACTTGTTTTAGATATTGCCCAAATCAAGTGGATGAATGATTAGTAAAATATCTGACATGAAGAAGAGCTAATATATGAGTTTGAATCAGCTGTGTTGTAGCAGAGACATATGTTTGGCCTTTATGGAGAAATAGAAATCACCTTTATAATTATTATTTTTTTTCACAATATTACTCTTTAAATCAAGTTATTGGCAGTAAACCATGTGAGGGTTGTTCTTCTCTGAATCCTCAATAATACCCTTATCCCTCATCTTTGCAGTCATTGTGCGGATGCTCCGTCACCGTGTCCTCCATAGACGGGAAGACATCTCACATGAAGATCACTGACGTCATCAAGCCTGGAATGAGAAAAATCGTAGCTGGGCAAGGCCTCCCCTTACCTAAAAACCCTGAACAGAGAGGAGATCTGGTGGTAGAGTTTGATGTGAACTTTCCAGAGACGTTGCCTGGGAACGCCAAGGACGTGCTGAAACGACACTTACCCACATAGGACAAGAGGACTGGGACTCCACGCCGACGGCCTGATGACAATTACTTCAATCAAGAGACACTTTTCCCGCAAGGACAGTTCTGCACAGATGGACCCCAACTGATGAATGTGTGGTGTCTCTTTTAGAGCTATTTGGTGTTTTCATAGATATCGTGCATGCTGCCAAGCTGATACAAGTGCAAGTGAGAGACTGCTTGAGCTCTGACTGTTATGTGAAACTACACGCTTGTTATAAGTGGCCCTTTGGTTGGAAATAGCTGCCAAAAATCCCATTCATGTTGGGAAAACCTTTGTACTGAACAAAACATTTAGATTTTTTTTTTCATGAATTGATTAGAGGCCGTTATAAAATACAAGTCCTTGATTGTGAGTTCTATCAAGTTTTAGATTCTCATGCTCAATTGTGGTGTAATTTAGTTTGGTTTTAGCTATTGTTTGGCACATTTTGGATCTTTACATGCAAAACTTGAATTTAAAAAAAAAAGGGAAGAAGTTTTTACCTAAATAATCCTAAGAATCATTCTCTTGAAATAAGCTGTGTAATATTAGGATCGCTTCACAACATGCTGCTTATGAATATTTATAGTCTGTGTAGCAATATTGCAAAAAAGGCTCATTTAAAGCCCATAGAAATGAAATTTGTACATGAAAACGAATGACAAAATGGAACCTACTTGTAATTGAATCTATATTTTGATAGTCAACTGTGATTTTTCTGATGTTGTAAAATACACAGTTATTTTTATTTTGATGTGCAAAATTCCAAATTAAATATATCTTGGCTCAACATGCGGTCAGACGTTACTATAGTGATAATAAGGAGTAAATATAACTGTCCCGGTCTCAGCTGCTCATTTTCAGCTGCCAACACTGTAGGCATTTATGTTTTCCCACCAGGGGATGCCACTACACTTACAGTAATATAGAGAATTCTATCTATCTATCTATCTATCTATCTATCTATCTATCTATCTATCTATCTATCTATCTATCTATCTATCTATCTATCTATCTATCTATCT